GTATGGCAAGCCGTTGCTGCCAAAAGCTATCGAGATTTGAAGACTTGTTGAGTTTGCATTTAGTGTGCCGAGATGCATTTCAGACATGTTCAGTTCAAAATATATCCGTCGAGTTCCTCACTTTTGGTGTTGAGATCTCGACGAGAACTCGACGAGTTTCTTAAATTCTCGACGAGAACTCGACGAGTTTCTTAAATTCTCGACGAGTTTCTTGAATTCTCAACGACTTTCCACACCTAATAGTTCCCAGTCCCCTCGCAAATGTGGAACAATTCAAGATGACGGGAGATGACGGTCTAATTTCGTTCGACGATTTCAGCAAGTTCTTTAATCATTTTGACAAAATTTTATCGAAAATTGAAGAAGCATCTGCCAGATATTCTTGCCGAGATTCATACAACAATTCATTGAGACTATATAAATTATTTCTATACCGAAGGAAGCCCAATGCGAATTTTCCAAGTTTTTTCACGGGATACCTGCATATGTCCCATAAACGTTTGCGACTCGTCCACTGCGTCCTCGTGCTCAAGTAGCTTTTAGAGGTGGCATATAATTAGTAAGTTTAAGTATGAATCCAACGATCAAAAAACTACTGGATAACATAAATACTTTAGGAAGAGAACTAGAAAAAGGCTCTGGAAGTAGCGCAGAATCTGCTTCGAATAAAAATGTCGAAGCAGAACTTTTACAAAGGTTTAGAAATTCCCCTGGTGGCTCTGCTTCTGCAGTCAATGCGGCCCACAGTACTGTGCCCTGTGAAACAAGTTCTACCAGTACCAGCTTAAACAAGCTTACAAATGCTCCAAGATTTGCCCTGGGTTACAACTTCTCGAATCATTAAATTGTCTGACGATGCCTCCAGCTGCTGTAGAACCTTATCCAATTCTACGAAAAACTGTTTCAATGCTGCACTGTTCCGACTGTCCGCCATTTTTTTTTATCACAGTGGTCAGCGGTTTACCCAGATGGGCTCCCTTTGTCGTTAGCTTGGGCTCCCTGTCCCTTTCGTAGAGTATTTGAGAAACTCGTCGAGTTCTCGTCGAGAATTCAAGAAACTCGTCGAGAATTCAAGAAACTCGTCGAGAATTTAAGAAACTCGTCGAGTTCTCGTCGAGAATTTAAGAAACTCGTCGAGTTCTCGTCGAGATCTCAACACCAAAAGTGAGGAACTCGACGGATATATTTTGAACTGAACATGTCTGAAATGCATCTCGGCACACTAAATGCAAACTCAACAAGTCTTCAAATCTCGATAGCTTTTGGCAGCAACGGCTTGCCATACAATTGCTAAGTACTATAACGCTAATACTGAATTCGCACGTCTCTTGAATCATAATTATTTTGGAGTCTGTTTTCTCTACAAAATCAAAAGAAAAACATATAAGATAAAAGAACCAAAATAAGTAAAATCCTTTTAAATTTTTTATTTATTTGCTCAATGAAGACACAGGACACATCTTAAGGTAAAATAACGACAGTACGCTTACTAGTAAAATCGTTTTCCGAGAATCTTTCTTCCATTTCAGTGCTACCAAGCCACGGCTCATGACGCATCAAAATCTGTTTTCGATCCTATTTATTATTTTGCTCTGCTGTTAAA